ATTATAATATATATATATATATATATATATTGTCAAACAAAAGTTCTTTAATAAAATTAGCACTATTTTTTATTTTGGCTTTATGATAGAAAAAATTAATATCATCCTCCCATTTCTTCAACTAGGAAAAGTTGGCCCTTTGCTTAAGCCACTTATATTCACAAAAATAGCACTATGCAAATCTCTTTCATTACAGACAAGTTGAGTAACCAAATCTTTAGAATAAGGATTGATATATGTATGGTTCAAATGATCTTCCTGTTGGCTTTTAAGATCAGTGATGGAAACAGAAATAGAATTAGAACTATTCCAATTCCAAATTTTCAAAGCAAACTTAAACATTTTTCAATTTATTGCAATAGCAAAAAGAGGATCACCTTTAACCTAAATATTCCAATCAGAGTTAACATCACAACAATTAATACAATGGCCCCAAAAGTTCTTATACATATATCTACTTCCAAGTTTATTAGAATCACCCAAAGAAACAAAAATATGAGAATAGTTATAAGTGTATAAACCCATAACTCTAAAAAAAGAATAAGGAAAAGTATTCATTCAATGAGTATTATATAGAGCTAAATCCAAAAGACATCTAATAGGTGTATCCAATTGATTATTGAATCAACTATGAACAATACAATTATTAAAGTCTGTGAGCTTACTAGGAATATGAGGAATACCTTCAACTGTCTCATCAATTTTAGGAATACAATTAAAACCGCCCAAAATCAACCAAGGATCTTGCATATTAACTTAGATAGATAAAATATCATCCCAGATCTCTTTTCTGACTAAAGCAAGTTAAAACGATTAATAGAAAAGGTATCTGAAAGAGAAGATGGAGATAATTTGGTTACAAAAAGATAAACGAGTTTTAATTTATAATCATAAAGAAGCTTACACAATCCTCAATGCGAGCTTCATTATTAAGCCCAATGGCATTCCAAACAATAATATTAATAAACATCATTATAAGATGAAAAAAATAGAATTTTAAAAAAAAGTAAATCAGTGAGAAATTCCTCCTTTTGGCCTCCCATGTTAGCCTTAAAAAGAGGTCAAAAAGAGGAAGAAGAGTGAAGAGTGGCAGAAGAATCAACATGAGCAGAAATACTCATAGTCTTAGATAAATTATGCTAAAAAACAGATCTATCTTGATTTTTCACTTGAGGAAGAACCATATCAGCAGCATCATCTTCCAAAATAACAACAATGGACAATTTTCACTGTCAAGAACATCAGCATTATCTTGAGGAAATAATTAAAATCCTATGGGGTAACATTACCCCTAATATCATTAACATTGGGCAAAATAGAATAGACATCTTGAGCAATAAGAAATAACAATATCACGATCCCAAGGGTCAGCACAGTAAGTTTCAGAAGGAATGTTTAAGTCAGGGGAAACATCAATATTATAAAAATAAAGGGAGGGATGTGAAGAAGGAATATTATTCACTCGAGGAAGTATTTGAAACCTCTAAAAATTATCTCTTCTATTCCTACTTCAACCCCGGCAACAACGAAAAAGCAGAAAATACAAAAGTGGGCTGAAAATTAGGAGTTTTAAGACAATTAGAGGAGTCATAAGCAAAAATAGAAAATATTTTATATAGAATTAGCTTTCATTCATAAACAAATGGTTGCATGATGACCTGATCTATCACAACAAATTCAATAGAATCAAGAAGAACGATATCAATAATAATTTGAACGTTAAGTCTAGCAAAAGTAAGGCGTGAACCATTTGCAGTGAAAGAATCAACTACCAATGTAACACCTATTTTACAAGCAATCTTAGATATACCCTTTTCCAACCAGCAACAAAGCAACAGATTGGGTAATTAAACTTAGATAGGAAAATTCCTAAAATCTTCCTTAACTGGTTTAAAATCATGTGTCCATTGCTTAAAAAAAAAAGCCTCATAAATAATCATGCACCATCCATCAAAATCATATCAAAAGCCTCTATGCAGGTAAACTTAAAGAAGAAAAACCTTCAGTAAGAGATGACAAATCAAGAGTCCTTTCAACTTCCACATCTTACTGATAGCTTGCAACAAATTATGGTAAAAAAGACACTTACCCAATGCATGACCAACTAACACAAAATTCCAGAGTTTAAAACCATCTTTCACTTCTTGATCCGAAAAAGAGACAATACTTCCTTACAAGGTATGAAAGAAAAAGAGAAATTAGAAAAGTTAGGAAGACTCGAAGACATAAGCTCTTTCCAATTTAGCAATGGATCAGATAAGGATAGAGCGGCCAAAACAACTAGAGAAGAGATGAAAAAGAAGATGTATGCATTCTAAAGAAAAGGGGCCCAGCCCCAAAACCGAAAAACACCACTCAACTCCTTTGAATGAAGGCAAACCCTACTGCAAGAGGACAAAAATGGGAGGAGAAAAATAAACACCCCAAAACCCTAACAAAGCTCCCATTGGAATGTAATACTGTTGCTTAATAAAATCTTCAGATTATGACCCGCTCTTTGTTTTTTGTCCATCTTGTTGCCTTTACTGTCCAACCTTTTTTTTTCCGATAATTGCAGTCACTCCTTCAATTATAAAAATAATCCTAAAATTTCATAATTCATAAACCAACATTTTACCTATCATCTCACAACTATTGGACTCACAATTCGCAATTGAAAATTAAATGCCCGACACTTCATAAATATTCCATGCCAGCAGTTCATGCACATCTTTAACAACAAAAAGTCAAATATCAACACTACAGATCATAACATATACAAAATTGGTCAAATAAACATCAAAATTAAAATAAATAACTAAATAAAATAAAAAAAAGAGATTAGAACACAGTCAATTCCGGTGGGAGTCAGCTCTTTATCTGATCCAAAACTGAAGGTTCTTTCACCGACGGTGCTTCCACCGATTCAAGCCTCTGCTCCTTACCACCATCTTTTGGGATGATCAATCCATAACCACCATCTTTTCTTTTGTATAAAATGTTTATCTCACCTGATAGAGAAATACAGCAAAATATGCAAAATCAGCAGCAAAGAAATAGAATCTGCAGCGTATGAAGGCTAAAGGCTCAACAAGGCGAGCATTTTCTTCACCTGTTTCATCGTTTCGGAAGCCGTAGAAGTCATGATCCACATTCTGTAATTGCTGCACAGCTTCTTCCACAGTTAATGGAGGCATCTCGAAATATTTTGTACGAACAACCTGATGAGAGATATTCCCCATCACATGAAAAATGAATTTTGTATTCAAAATTATTTAATGAAAAATAGTAAAGCCAATGCAGGAGAAATGTATTATGAAAAGTATTAAAATCTAATTGTTGTAAATTAGGAAATGCTAAATATTAGAGAGATTGATATTAGGTAACCTAACTTGGGGAGATCTAATTATATAATATTTCTATATTAAAAAACATAATTTGAGAAGATGTAAATATGATATTTCTTATATTAGAAATATTTATAATTTATATACCATAATCCTCTCATATTTATATAAGAGAGATTATAGAGGATTTAAGTGTGTTAAGTTGTAATTCTAGTTCAGCCGATTTTCTCTCCCCTCTTTTTGATAGTGGAATAGCTTCTTCTCATGAACGTAGGTGAATTTGTACTAAACTGCGTAAATCGCACTGTGTTTGATTGTTTAGTTTTTTGGTTGTATGAATTTATTTTCCGCATTATTTTGCACAACAAACTGAACCACGTTGAAAATTTGCACAAATGATGATTTCAAAATTATTCAAAATAGCATTTTTTACTGGACTGATATCATTCACTATAGTTTTTAAACCTTTAATAAAAGCTGCACAAATGATCATTTAACCATTGGTTGACAATCTCACACAAATAACATGGATCGCAAAATAATCAAATGTTAGATAAAAAATAAAGGACACATTTAAAAATTTAAGATTATTCTAGATTTCAATAATTAATCATGCAAGAAAACCAATCACGAATTTTAGAGAATTTTTAAAAAAAAAAGAAGTCAATCTGGAACTGCTTGGCAGGCATAAGAACAAAGCTTCTCGAAATTTGGATACATCAATCACATCATACTAGAAAAATTAACATCTAACTAGCATTCAAGCATAAAAGTAAACAAAAAACTTTTAGAATTATAATTATTACAATTAGAAGACATTTTTCTCAATTATCTTCATGCAATCGTGTGAATAATTAAAGAATAATGCATCGAAAGTAGCAAAAATGCTAGAGTACTAAATCCTTACTAAATTGATCTAGGAAGAGATCTAGATCATCTATGATAATTTTGGTATCAAATCATCAAGTGAATATAGGAAACATTATTGCTGAAAATTTGACAGCTTGAATTCTTAATGCAGACTGCCCCAGTAATGTTATTTTCACATCAGACTATAAATATCAGAGATCAAGTCTTAAAAAATACATACATGAAGATGAATCGTTGATTGAACGCCAAATGATAAAGAACAAGAGGTAGGAAATATAATTGGATGATGATAAATTTTAATTTTTAAAGTAGTATTGAAAGAAAATTTGAAATTAGACTACTAAATTTTAGATAATTTTCTTTCTTATTTTAGTGTTAGTCTTACGAATGATAAGATTGTTCCTTATTTTATGAAGTCAATTTAGAAGAAGATTAATCCTGTATTTGCATAAATGGGTTTGATTCCAGCAAAGAGAAGTAATTCTAACACTCAAAATTCTCAAATCTCCTCCCATCCTCTCTATACTGTCATTACCAACTTCAGGTACCGAAAATAGAATTTAAGCTTGTTCTCTTTCAACAGTCAGGGAGAACAAAATGAAAAACTGCTCAATGAAATCAATCATGAAATCAATCCAAAATGAAGAACATAATTTGTCATATCGAACTGGAATGAGATTCAAGAATTATGTTGGTTTAACCAAATATAAATCAAGAAATTGAACTAGATAGGTATATATATAGATTAGAAAATCAAATCAGAGAGAAAAAACTTCTAAAATAACAAAAAATGATTGAGATACCCTTACTTTGATTTTTAGATCAATAATATCTGCAGAATGTACAGAAATCCTTTTCCTATCTGCTCTAGCATAATGTTGAAAGGATAAATTTGAATCAAACTAGTATTAGGCGTCTTATCATTTCATTGGTGAATGGTATAAACAACAAAAAAAAAAAAAATTCAAGGGATTGGAAAACCTCTTATTATCCTATATTTACATAAAGAAAAGAAATAAATATAACAGAAAAATAATGGCCGGGACTAAGTCATCCTAATACCGTTGATCAAATGGCTAGAATAAAAAAAGAACAAATGACAATGACAATGGAGTGGTTGACAATATAGTCCATTAACATTAAGTCTTAATGATCCTATCTGCACTCTTCCTTCTCCTTTCATAAAAATCGATGCAGAAAATTTAATTAGTTGGTTGATAAAGCAGAGAAATACAACACTTTGTATCGTTGCAATAATCGTGATAAAGCAACATTCATACTTGAGCCATCATGCTTTAATGTGGTGGAACATTAGAAGAAAATGCACATCAAGAATTAATCAGAGGAAATTTCAAGTGACTAATGCAAATTAAATTCTACCAAATAATTGCCAAGAATTGATAGAGCAAAATAGCTCAATCTGAGCCAACCTCCAGGATGCATGTGAAGGATTATACTACAAAGTACCCCTTTGGGCTTTGCTTTATTATTCTAGATCAATGCGCAACAAAGCTCATCACATTTTTCCGAAATCTAACAATGAGAGGCTAATGAGAGATGCTAAAATGTATTCCAAATAAAAACTTCAAAAAATTTTCTTGAGGTTCCCAATTTATTTATCAATTCATACAAAGGTACCCCAAGCACTCTTTCATGTTTTAGACGACTTTTTTCTCTCTGATTTAATCGTGTTCTAGTTTTACGCAGCCATCCAATTTTATTTTCTAACAGCTCTACTACTGGATAACAAGAAGAAATACTGAATTCGAATTGCAAGGATTTAAACTAAGCTGCTTGATTTGCATTTATTTCAGTAAGTAGTCCTTCAATTTCTACTTTCCATTGAAGAAAAAAGACCATCTGGAATTATTTCCTGCAGAGGACGGTCAGAATATCATTGAAATCTTCTCCTGGATTGTAGAAACCAACAATTTAGATTATTTTCTTTGGCTGGCCAGCATCACAATCGAGAGACAACTGTGAATTTTAGCTATCAATGTTAAAGTTTCTGAGCACCTACGGCTGACCATCATAATACCCCCATTTCCTACAGTACCCAAGCACTGGATAACTTCGCTCAGAAGAAATAGAAAAGAAAGGAGGAGAGAAAAGGGGAAGAGGACTTGGGAAAATTTTTTATTGAATTTAATGCATGTTTTAAACAATTAAATATGCAACTGTAGGAAAGATAACATTGAATTCCCCTCAACAAACTCCACGAAAAAAAAAAAAAAAAAAAAAAAACAAAAACCAAAAAAAAAAACTATATACAAATCAAAAACAAAATAACTTCATACTACAAGATAATCCAATAGAACTAATCATAATCTTGAATTTAAATTCAAAACAAGCTTATCTAAAGAAGTTCTTGAAATTTAAACCATCATTATATAATTGTAATTTGAATTTTAATCTACTAATTCAGCTTTTGAAGCTTAGATCTCCCCCGTATGGCGTTCATTTTAAAATTAGAAAATGTTTATTGACTTCTCACAACAAGTTCAAGTTCAACAAGGTGATATAAGAATCATCATCATTCGTTCATTTGTGATCTGTCAAAATGATCACCCAATCCATTCACAATCTGATGCCCAAATTATGATAAAGCTTCTTCTTATATGCTTCTTTTAAGGATGGTCAATTAACCATCCCATTCATGATTGATCACGGATCATGGGTCCCCCAACTACCAAAAATTCATTCCTAAGAAGATCTTAAAAGCTTCTTTAAAAATTTTGGAGTTTCAAAGTTTACTTATTTATAGAGCTTGAATGGCATTTCATCTATAGATGACGCTTGCAAACATACATAGTCATATCTATGGAGTGCTACTTGATTTGGCTTGTTTACATGATAATATCTTCTTGCAAGTTTGCCAAAATTAATGAGCCACTGAATTATCATTTTCGTATATGAATTGTAAAGAGGAGAATTTTCAAGCTCCATAAGCAATGGAGATGTCTCCATTTATAATAGCTTTTTAATCTACTGCAACATAACTTTTTTTTTAGTATATGGGATGGCTGAAGAGGTGAATTTCTTTTGCTTCCTTCTGGATTTTCTTTTCCCCGCTCTCGATCATATACTTCCAATACTGCACGCACTATAAACCAATGAAGATCTTAGAGGCTTTTTTTTATGAATTTATAGAGCATGAAACAAACAAAAATATAACCAATATTACTTTGGGCTGTAGAAGATAATCTCACTCTATAATTTTGATAGAGTTAAATCATCATATTCTTCAATTAATTTATCATCTTCAGTATACATAATTTATTCAGGATCACATCTATATGATTAAATTCGGTTCTTATTAGAACATTAAATTCAGATATAATTGTATGCTCAAGTTTGATCTCAAATTCGAAGTATATATTTTATTCAAATAAATGTTCAAGTTCATGAACATAATCAAATGTATATGTATATCCCAACTTAACAAGATCAAATATTGATTTCTATTGGTAACATCATTATCATCAACATCTAAGACATCCTCAAAGAAATATTCATAAACAATAATTTCTTCAATAAGATCAAATGTGACGATATATAACTTTTATGTTGGTGAATGATTTACACGCTTATAGAAAAGATTGTAATGATTTTTTCAGTGACATAAGCACAAGAAAATAGATATAATAAAATGAATATAATATTTCTAAACCTCTAATGCTCTGCATAAACCCTCATCTACCATCCTGGAAGACTATATCTTAGTTCTTGCTTAATTTCATCAAAAAAGCCTGTAATGAAAAAGATAATGTAACATACTAGCCTAAATACAAGTAATGTATGGCTAAAAAATCTACAAACCTTAACATAATATACAAAGACGCCAAAAATATATTGTTTAAAGTCCTTAAGTCGCTTATATTGTTGCACCCTATTTTCACTGAATGATTTATTTACACTTAGCATACATTTCAAATCAGCCCATGTAAATTTAGGGCCCGTTTGGGGCAGCTTATAAGTGCGGCAGCGTTTTGAAAACCCCGCC